GAAAATTAATTTTTGAAAATTTTTAGGGGTGTACCAAATTTGTTGAGGTTGTTCTGTAAAAGAAAAGCGGCAAGGAAAACGACGCCTCGAAGCAACAGAATAGGAAATCAACCATGCGAATCACTCAAAATCCGTGTATCCGCGGCAAAACCTAGCGCATGCGTATACGTTATTCAGCTCTGTCGGCTAACATTGCAGTGGCAAATGAGAACTGTAAGCCAGTCAGCTGTTGCCCTGCAAAAGAGGCTGACTTGAGCGGGTACTTCAAATTAACCTCATTATTGTTTACCTGGGCATGTCTCTGCAAGATGTTAGATTAAGAACTGGCGTTCTACAAAAAAGAAAAATAAATAGTAACGTTAAATTGGAAAAGCGCTTATATATCATGAAACTCTTTAATCGCGGGCAAGGTAAAGTCCTTGCTGACCTCTAATAAGCTGATGTTTAACACCTATTATTAGCTATTGTTATATAGATACTAATGAAATACCAGATTTTTTCCTCGTGAAGATAATATATTTTCTGCTGGTATACGGAGTTTTCAGTTCATTAACAGTTTGTTTCATTGTTGATTCTATTCACTGTAGGACACGCCATTTGGGGCGTGTCCCCCGGGTATTCCTGATTGGTGTGGTTTCAGTATTTATAGACGGTTCAGTGTGATTTTGTCCTCTCACTCTCGCTTTCCACGCTGACGTCGAAGTTGTAGTCCCACTCGCCCGCCCTTGTCAGTTTTCGTTATTTTCATCTTTAAAGGCGCTTACATCAAATGGTTTTCTGACGGTCAAAATGATTGTAGAATTATCCAAGTTGGAAGCATGAGGAAAGATCTACACGTTATAGCCCTTAAGATTTTTCAGTTTTGCGTCGAGAATAAAACCGAATTGGAAGTAAATGGATTCCCCGAACTAAGCTTGATAGGGCGGACTTCATTAGTCGTATTATTGATGTAGATGATTGGCAAATCACAACTTCCTTTTTTGAATTCCTGGATTATACTTGGGGGCGACATACAGTGGACTGTTTTGCCAATTTCTAGAATAAGAAAATCAATAAGTTTTATTCAAGATTTTGTAATCCAGGTTGTAGCCGAGTGGATTTTTTCGTTCAGAATCTGACAGGGGAAAATTGCCTCGTTGTGCCCCAGGTAAATCTAATCCATAGAACAAATTCACTATTTGTATATACCCAAGGCTGTGGCTACTTTAGTCGTACCATTCTGGCCTTCGTCGTATTTTTGGCCTATCATTACCAGAAAATTTTTTTTTAGTTTTGTGATCGATTATAAGTTGTTCAGCGGAAGGACTGTTCTGAAGCATGGTCGGAACACCAATTCGTTGTTAGGCTCTAAGAGACTTTTTGGACAAATGTTAGCGGTCCGTATGAAGTTTAGATTGCTTGACCACCGGGTCCCTGTATCTCTTAGGATGATCAGTAATGATTTAGTTGAGATTAATTGGGAGGTATAAGGACGCTTGTCCGATTATACATCGACAAGAGGGCGCTGGCCTCGGATTAGGAGAGCACTTTATCGTCTCCAGCTTATATTCTGAGGTAGTTTATGTGGTAGTAGAACGCTTGTGCATATGATAGAAAGGTGGCGNATCTGAGAACAAAACAAACAGCGTAATTAAAGCTGTCGCGCCATCTGCCAATTTGTACAATGTTCAACCTTTTCCCAGTTTTCTTTCTAGCTGTTTTTTAGTTAATTAAAATGAAATTTCTGGAAAGTAGCAACAGAAGAACCAAACAAAAGTTTCTAAATATGCTAAGCGCCGTAATTGATGTTATCCTAACATGAGCAGAAACGAAAACAACCAAAAAGGAAACGAAATGGATCGTCCGAATTTTGGCGGTTTTACGCTCAGTTAGATTGTAAGCTAACGAACGGGGTAAAATGTAAGCACAGCTAACAGTCGAATAGTATATATAGTTTCGAGTTCAAAAACAAAACAGAAAAAAATAGGAGTGATGAGAAGAATATAAAATACCTGGGAGTCTATATCGACAAGCACCCAAATTGGCAACCGCAAATACAATACATAAACAATAAAATGGCAAGAAACATTGGAATTCTTACTATATTGAGACATTATGTCAAATTTAATATGTTAAAGCAATTATACTATGCTTTGATATATCCCTATTTAAGCTATGGTATGACTACCTGGGGCTGTGCCACCGATACTAACTTAAAATGCCTCTGTATCAAGTAGAAAAAATGTCTTCGTAGCATCTTCTTTGCAAATGCTGGAGAGAATGCCAATCCCTATTATAAACTACTAGGAATTCTAAAGTTGGCAGCTATTTATAAATTCAGAATATGTTGTCTTACGTATAAGATTAATATTAAAAGGGTAGCATTCCAGATGTCTTCCTTGATACCCTGACCCCAGCATCTGAAAAACAAAATTATAATACAAGATTTGCTACTACTAATAACTTTTTTAGACCAAGAGTATCCACCAACACGGGAAAATCATCTTTTATATTCTCTGCTTCAAAGAAATGGGAAACTGTATCCACTTATCTTAAATATATGCCTAACGATAATTTCAATAGAGAATGGAAACATCAACTTTTACTCGACCAAACCTGATCATTTCACTTTACTGCTGATCTACTCTTAAGGAAAAATGTAAACTTCAAAAACTTCAACTTTTGTTCAACAAAACCTAATCAGTTTATTTACTTTACTGCTGATATACTTTTGTTATAGGCTGCTATCTATTTATCTATTTATATGACCATTACAGTGTCCAACTAGAAAGCCTTTGCTACTTTGCATTGGAAACCGTGCACCTCTCAAACTTATCTTTATAGCCAAATATTACTATTATTCTTCCCTCTTTCTCTTACTTTTTAATGTATATTAACTTCTATTAATAGTGTGAAATAAATAAAGTTCAAAGGCAGAACTGTTAACAATTTAAGCAAATCATGATGGTTTAAGGGCGACTCCGATAATCGCAGTGAAGCAAGCTTCAGAAATTACATCGTCTACCCTTCGAGAGAACAACTAAGAGCTTGTTCTTTGATCCTTTCCACTGCGTTGAGTGAATGGCCATTCATCCCGAGCAATCTTGGTGGAATCTGAACTCATAGTGGAAAAGTCCTTAACACAGGGAGTTATTATTCAGCTACGCGTCGAAACTATGGTATTGGGCGCTTAATCGTCCCCAAAACTTTCTTTTTAAGATGTTCTAGCAGTTCTGGTTTCCGTGCTCTTAATACCTCCCTATATTAGCTTTTTTTTAGTAGTGCATTGTATTTGTTTAATATTGCAAGTACTTGTTATATCAATGAGTTGATAAGCGGAAGGAAAAAGAGAAGAAATTGTAGGAACGGAAAGAGAAGGACCGCATTACGTGAAAAGTGTTTTAGTCCTTCAGAAACGAGCTGTAATAAAGCATTATTGCTGTTGTTACTTTGAGACAAGTTCGGATGTCTTACACCATATACAGCTGCCAGAGCGCTGCACTTATATACTGCTGATCTAAAACATGGAGAAAGAATCATGATAGAATCTTTAAGGAAAGTCGAATGTTCAAATTTTCCAGTTTAACGAAATACATTTTTTTCTTGGAAGACACTGCTTCTGCCAAAATTGTTCTCAGACATTTTATAGTTTAGAAGACGTCGCTGCCTTGTTCGTTAACGATAAAACTTCTGGATAATTAATCTTATTCTTTACTTCCTTAATTGAAGGCTGAAAAAAACAAGAAAAAGAAAATGTATAAGGATATTGAATTGCGGGAAAAAAATTAAATAGCTCCGTCACAAAGGTCTCATTGTATTAACATAATCACACACTATAGTAATAAGTATGTAGAGCGTGCATTGGATTAATCAATAAATGAACAAATATCTGAATGAATAGAAGAATGAATGAATGTTACTAGGATGTTCAGATGAGTGAGGCACGACGTATGTTTGTCAATCACCCCTTAACGCTAAACTCGTATTGTTATGGTGGGTAACTGGCTCCGTTTTCCAGTGACACCGTGTCGATTTCTCAACGTATTTTGGTGTAAATAAAGCACTTGTAAGTTTCTCAAAGACTAAACATTGCAATCGCCCGTTGTTGTCTTTGAAAAATTTACTCGTGTCTATTTAGAGCAAATTGCACTCGAAATCATGTTATTACCTAAACTAATATGATTTATGTGCCTACACTCGAGCATGTTCTAAGCAACACGGTATCGATCAAGCCCGGATGGTTGTCCAGGAGCCGAGATTTTTTGCCCTTTAAGTAGTGCAATTTTTCCCTCTTTTAAGCGACTCCCTTTATTACGCGTTCGTGGTCTTCACCTCTTTTAAACGGTCATTTAAATCAAAAATAAACTCTCAAATTAATTTTATTCCTTTTTATCTCCCGGAGATGTTGGTACTGTCCTCGAATCAATGTTGGTACTTTGAGTTCAAATGTCCTCGACCCACTGCAGATTATCGTTCTTCTTTGTACTGCCAGGACAAACATTTGTGTAGTTTCTGTACTGAGTTTGTGTAGTTACTGCAGTTTGTGCAGTTACTGTAGTTTATGCAGTTACTGTAGTTTGTGTAGTTACTGTTTATGCAGTTACTGCAGTTTGTGTAGTTACTATAATTTGTTCTTTTTTTTTCTCCCTAAATCTCAGTTATCAAGGTTTCACATAAATTTTTGGTAGTTTTTTAAAAACTAAAATCATTAGGTTTGCACTGATGAGCTGTTCTGTGGGGACTCGGTTAATAGGTCTGTCTAACGAGCTGAGCCAGCAGTTTCATAGTTTGGCACAGTTTCCTCGATGATCTGATGTTTACCCATTATAATGATTGACCAAAATAATTTCCTCAATTGAACTGATCAGATTGAAAGGGGGATTTGAATATCCGAGTAGATTCTCCACAACACCTTCAACTATCAACAGAAAACAAAAAATTAAGACAAAAAAAAAACAAAAACAGAAGCAGCAAAATAAAAACAGCAATAAAAACAGCAATAAAAGCACCATTCTTGTGTAAACGCTTCAAGGTATTTATTCATTCATGAAATAAAACCTCTACATGTTCTTCTAGGCTCAGCCTATATAAACCATCTTGTTCAAAAGCTCTATCGAAAATCTGAAGCAACTAGTGTCTGAAGCGCTTTTCCATGGTCGACTCATCACTTTGTGCATACGGCGCAAGTCAACTCCCTACCAGCAACATATGGTAGGCATGGCAACGAACCACACTGGCCTTCCACAATGTACAGAAGGGCACCATTGAGGTCGGCACGGCTACCGTGAACAAACTCTGCGTCTCGGTCAACGCAAATGAAGTTGCGAGACTGTTTGTGCCTTGCGTTCTCCGACATCAGGTACCCATGGTACTCTTCGGTCCAAGCAGATGGGCACTCATTCCTTGCGGGTATCATCAGCTGGGTTGCACGCGAGCTGACATAACACACTGCACATGGGGCTTCGTGATCATGGAGGTTGCTTTTAAAAGGATTGAACCCCTTGACTTCATATTCAGTTCCATAAATGTATGACCCCGATTGATATCCGTCCTTGTACTTGTCGTACTTCGGGACCTTTGGCAGACATATGTACTCTCCTCCTCCACCATGATGGCCGTAATAGCTACTTCCAATTATACCTAGGAATACATTCAAGACATTTGGTGTTATAGTGTCATCCATCTATTTAAATCAACCCTGTAAATATTTGATTGAAAAATTGAAGAGACACAACAATAGTATCTACACGCAGGTACGATTTCGAGGAGTTAATCTATACAGTAGTATTATGAAACGTTTTAAACAATTTCCACCTTCATAAACCAACTGAGCACCGCTAGGACACTTGGTCTTTCCCCAACGGACATATTTTACTCCAGTAATACCAGCTCCATCCCGTCCTCTGTCACCTTTGGGCCCTTGAGGTCCCTGACGCCCGGGCCTCCCACCAGGACCTTGCTCTCCCTTAGGACCAGGAGGACCAGAAACCGGCTTGTATGTACCATTTCCAGACTGTCCTGCTTCACCTACATCGTTTCGAAGACATTATAGCATAATTGTTCACAATAGGAACTAAAACTGGGGCAATAAAAAAAAATGCCACTTAGCTGTTTTCCTGATTTGTTTGTTCATTTTTGTTTCACCTTAACAAAGTAAAGTTGTTTGTCCAGTTTGTGACACCTTTGTTGTTGTTCAGTTTCTGACACCTTTGTTGTTGCTCAGTTTGTGTCACCTTTATTATTGCTCTGTTTATGTCACCTTTTTAGTGTTGTTCCGTCTATGACACCTTTGTTATTGCTCGGTTTGTGCGGTCAACTTTGTGATTGTTCAGTTTGTGACACCTTTGTCATCATCAAGTTTGTGACACCTTTGTTATTATCCAGTTTATGACACTTTTGTTGTTTGTCCAGTTTTTGACTCCTTTGTTATCATCCAGTTTGTGACATCTTGGTTGTTTGTTCAGTTTGTGACACTTGTTATCAACCAGATTTTAATACTTTGTTATTGTTCAGTTTGTAATACCTTTTTTATCATCCAGTTTGTATAAATATCTTTGTTATTATCCAGTTTGTGACACGTTTGTTATCTTCCAGTTTGTGACATTTTTGTTATTATCCAGTTTGTGACACATTTGTTATTATCCAGTTTGACACCTTTGTTCTTTGTCTAGTTTGCGATATCTTTGTTGTTTTTTAGTTTGTGACACCTTTGTTGTTTTTTTAGTTTGTGACGCCTTTGTTGTTTGTCCACTCTGAGTCACTTCTATCGTTTGCTCAGTTTCTGATATCGCTGTTGTTTGTTCTGTTTGTTACACTTTTTTAGGTTGTCCATTTTGTTTTGTGACACCTTTGTTGCTTTTCCAGTTTGTGACAACTTTACTATTTCTTCAGTTTGTGATAACTCCGTTGTTTATTTAATTTGAGACACCTATGTTGTTCCTCTGACCTCCGCCTTTTTTTTGTTTTTCAGCTGTTTCAGACACCTCTATTGTTTGTGTAACTTATGATGTTTCTGTACGTGGCGGCTGTTGTTGTTGTTTAATTCTTACCCTTCGGCCCTGGTGCACCAGGTTTTCCTGCTATTCCTGGGACACCCGGCTTTCCAGGAGGTCCTGGAGGACCCATGAGACCTTCCCTACCATCTCGGCCATCTCGCCCTGTGTAAGAAATTTGAATTGAGAATTGGAATTTGTATAACCAATTTTAAATTGATTCTAGCAGATTAAACAAAATGTTATACGGACACAGTTTTACAAACCTCGAAGATATGCGAGAAACCACCAATCACTATGCTTGCTTGGAGTCAACACAGACCGATTGTTGGCATCGATCCTATTAGATTAAAAAGCATAATAATCAGTTTAAACAGATTTTAGTCTGTGGGATTGAATACAAGCGAAGGATCGTGGGAATAATATCATTTGAAGATGTAGGGACAAATTTATAATTGTAGGATCTCTTCCCGAAATTACATTTTAAGCAAAAAAATTGCCTATGGTGCGCGCAGCTCGTAGGACACCTAGTTTTCATTTTCATAACTAAATCCCTTTGTATCGACAAACCTGTCTTAATCTAAGAAACCTTGAGAGTAATGTTAAGTTTGCCAGGAAATGAAATGAGGAGCTAGTCTGAAGGGAGGGCTTTCCTGATTGATGCACTGAGCGAAGCTCTGAGAGATTACTTATTTGTTGACCGAAAAGCGAATTATATTCAAAAATAAAGATCAATAAATTCTATTTGATTAAGCGACGCTACAGAAGAGGGGTTTTTCAAAACGCAAAGCAAAGTACTTGATACCTTTTCTCCAAAGCTCGAAGTCGTTTTTCAAAATCTGCGATGGCACTCACTTGTGCTTTCCGTTTCAACGCTCTTTTTCTTCTGGCGTGATGCTCGTCTATGCCGGCCGTTTGCTCGTTGAAAGAAACATCCGAGTTTAATATCTCACCTCTCTGTAGACTTTCTAGTTTTCTTTCCAAAGCGGCCATACGCTCATTAACCACCAGATAGTTGGAAATTAGAAATGTAGCGCAAATCGAGCACACTATCACAACCCAAAGGCCCACACGAGTAGAAGATTGTGTTGTAACAGGCTTCATTTCCGCAGAAGAAATGAGTTTTCCGTCCATGTAAAGATGTCGAAGCTTTCGATTACAAAAATTTTCGCCAAGCTGAATGTGGCTCGAAAACAAATTTCAACTAGTATATACATGACTCTTTGTGATTTCATTGGAGGCCATGTACACGTATGTTTATTTTCGTGCACGAGAATTTTCCAGTATTAGTAAACAATGGGTCGTCGTTGTTCGTCGCAAACTGTAAGTTGGGGCTGACTCAGTCCAAACAAAGTGCACTTAATAAGGAACTCGAGGCTGTTTCAAATGCTTGAAAAACCTAACAACAGATAAATGTCACTGGTTATGCTTTACATGTTCCATACTAACCTCGGATCTTGCTTCCTACTATAATTAGTAGGGGACAAATCGACGGCAAATTCAAAACACACAATTATGCATGTTTAAAATATGAATTGTGTCAAATCTTACAAAACATTCAACATAGTTATCAAATCTAGCGTACAAAAGTGCTGCAACAAAATTAAGACAACCTCTTTTTCCCGTACAGTCGCGCTCAGTTCTTTCAACCTGTGTAGAATTATGAGCGACATGCTTCGACCGATCGAGGTATTGAGAAGAGCCATCACCGGAGGCAAAGTTTCGAGACAATGCGAAGAATGTCCGTTAAGCTAAAAGCCCAGAATAATTTTTGCATGGATCACCGAGAACGTTTAACTTGTATCATTCCTGCTCCGAGATTTAATTGGCTGGAATCTATACAGACAGAAAATAAAGAACATGAAACAGGTTAGACCCGGTCTTGGTCGGTCTTTTATTGAAATTTGTATTCTTCGTATCTAGTCCGGTATTTTTGAGAACTAACTGCGTTATTTATGAGACAGATAAAAGTGAAAACAATTACGCGTAATCTAAGGCCTAGTTTATACGTCGCGCTACAGTCGAGTTTAATTCAGACGAGTTTAATTCAGGCGAATCTAATTCCATTAAATTCGTCGTTCCGTGGACGTAACTCGTGGCGTGGTTTTATGCGTCGAAATCAATACGATCGAATTTAATTCTCTTCCCAAATGCAGTGCCTCTAGTCAGAGATTTCATTTGGAAACAAACATGACGCGGTTGAAATACATTAAGAAAATGTATCCATTTCATTCGAGGCGAAGCTAGTGCGACGTTAAAACTGAAGACGCGTTATCGATATTTCATCCGTCTTACCAAGACGGATAAAACGTCAAGGACGAATTTAATTTACCAGACGAATTTAATTCGTTTTATACGTCGCGCTATTGTCGAATTTAATTGCTTGTGGGACCTTGAATTAAATCCGTCTGAATTAAATTCGACTGTACCGCGACGTATAAACTAGGCCTAAACTAAGCTGATGTCAAATCAGCCGAAACTTTAGCAGAGGGTCCGTTGGCAATTTTGTTGGGATTTCGCTCAAGGAAACAATTAGCACCCTCCCTCGGCTAATTCGTGGATATACAAGCCAGGGATAACCTTCAAACAATTTTCTTTAAGTCAAAAATGTCTTGTTTACATCCAAAAGTAAATGAATTAGTGATATTGATTCGTTGCGATGACACGAAGCACATCACACGAGTGATTAAACTTGCTTTCATGACCCTTCATTGTCAAGCTGCTTTAACCGAATCGAGAAAAGAAAACTGATTAAAACCTGCCAATGTACAGTGTCATCCAAGGAAGCGCTCCTTGCTCTTGCTCGGCGTTTAGTCGTCAGTTACAAGTTGCAGGCGCGAAAGAAATAATACTAAATTTAAGCATTATTAATGATTTTTTTTCAGCGTAAATATTTATACTGCACGTGCAACGGAAATGTGACCCTCTAGTTCCTTGCAATTGTCCACTTGAATTACCGCAAGTTCTCTATAGGACCCCTCCCATAGCAAGGACTTTAAGTGCTTTCAGTTCATTTATCTTTAAAACAATATCGAAATTGACGAGGGTTTGCTTTACGATGACGGAATTTTCAGTTCATCTCAGAAACTTATCTTAAGGCAGTATTGATTTCTATGATTAGTTTAGAACATAGTTGCTTCCTTGTCAACCGAACATATCGCTATTTTCCTCGCTCATTCAGAAATTTTCGATCTTCCTCGGTGTTCTGAATGACCGTTGTGATAACTTTAGTTTTAAGCACCCTCCAAAGGCGCTTATGTACACCTTAAGCCAAAGCGGACGGTTCCTCCAAATAGTCTCAACAGGTCCGACCAGGCTAAGAACGGCTACAATCTCATGAAAACGGCTCCAAACTAATATGGTCCGTTTATTTTCAAATGATCTCTGTTCAGTTAAAAAAAAAACAAAAAAAAAAACATGCGAATGCTATCTACAACAGCTATATTTTTGCACCGACAGCGGTGAATTTAATCGGAAAAGTCTTATCCAGAAGCGCGAACTGTGGTTGAACAAATTCTCGGCAAATAGCATAAAAAAAGCCACGGAATAACGTTTTTCAGTTCAAACGCACTACTCAAACCTAGAAGGAAAAGCAAATGACAGAAAAGTTGATGAAAATAATGTGAACATCTAATTTGGGTGAGTTCAGCGTTTCCTATGGTTGGGTATACAAGCGTATTGCCCATATGTAAAAACCCTTGGGGCCGGTTATTTAAACAAAGTTTAGTCACTGTTTAACAAAACTGTGTCCTAAACAAACCTCAGTTCAGCTCAACCTTTTATCAAAACAATTATTTTTGCGAAAAGCGTCAAGAAGGCCAAAAACGTACAGTAGACGGACATTTGTTTGATGAAATCAACCCTCTTATGGAGAAAGCCAAGGGCCCACTGATTGCGTATACCGTGGTTAAGATGAGAGTTCGTGTAAAGAACCGGCCCCTAACGTTTTCCTTCTGAATTGTGAGTGCCAACTAAGTATAATCCAGCACACAACTTCATTCCTCTATATTTGAAGTGAGGGGACTCTATTTCCTTTCTTGGGTTTTATTGAGTCATTCGTTCATAAATCAATTCAACCAAAAGAAAATAATGGAACATTATTTCCTCTCGCATTAACCTATTATCCTTGATACGGTTCAGTGATCGAGGGGGATTTTGACTTTTTTTCATATTGGACAACTGGGAGCCAAATTATACGCTTGCTACCCGAGTATCGTGCGCAGTTTTACAAATAATCACAGCAAAGACTCACCCTGGATTATTTCTGACAGCCGGCCGTTTCTGATTCCAGGGATTTGAGAGAATGTGAACGAGCTCGACGCCCAATGGCCCATGGGAGTAAGAAAGAAGTGAGATCTGTCCTTGCTTTGCTTTCCCTTTCTTCCCGTTGCTTTTCTATTATTTTTAAAGCAGATATACGTCTAGGTTCGATTCTGCGTCAGCTTCTAACCGGATTTATTCGTTTTTAGAGTATTTGTCACTTAGAAACAGGGCTCGTGGGTTCGTTGCGAAAGCAGAAGCACTCCAACTGGTTTATGAATTCCTTACTTTTTAACTGTTATGCTGCTTGGATTTGTGACTTTGATCTATCCGATTTAAACTTGTAACCTTGTGAACGTGACCAGAAAATTTTCCTTCATCATGACAAGTTTTTAGAAGTCAATGCCGGAGGCATTGTCCATTTCTGATAAGCAAGTTTTCTGGGAAACTACTTACCTTGAAACGAAGCGGATTCTATCAAAGGCTGTCAACAACAAGATCAGACTACGACCCAAACAGCCACCTAAAATCTACGGTTTAACAAGGATTTATAAAGCCGGTATACATGTACCTCTCAGATAGCTTGTGTCATGCTTGAAAACCTTCGCAGACGATTTGTTCGCTTATCTAGCTCACATGTGATCTCCATTGAAAGGTAACTCAGATTTTACAGTGTCCAACTCAGCCCTATTTGTATCTACCATCAGCGGCGAAAGGATTCATGAAAGCGAGTTCATGGAGTCTTTCGACGTAGAACCGTTCTCTATCAACGTTCTGATGAACTTAGCTGCACAAGCAGCTCAGCAGAAACCTGAAAACGAACCCAGCCTACCTGACCGCATGACACTAACAACTAATCAGATCACGGCCATCTACGTTCTTCCACTACAATGGATCAAGTTACGAGTAGACAGAAGGCGCAGCTGTGAGGAGCCCGATTTTCGCTGTTATCACTAACCTCTGCATTGAGAGTTTAAAAGAACAACCAGTAACATCATCACCAGGATCTGGAAACGCCTCGTAGACGACACCTTCACCGTCTTGGCCCGTGACAGCGTAGAAAGTTTCCTACAGTCAAGTATGTTTTGTTAACACTCATTCGTTGGATAGCGAGTAATTCGGCGAAAGCGCTATCCAACCTTGGAACAACTGAGCCAGAATTTTAGAATATCGGTATATTGTTTACCGTTGACTTCTGCATATTTTCTTTTAAGCTGTTCATACGGCTCTCAGGGGACCTGGGTGGCCCGTGGTTGGGATATTGATACTATCGCGCGTTCTTTCGATCTTTTGGTGGATCTCACGTGTTTGAAGTTTGAAGTTTTTTGAAGTTTATTTATATATTCATAAATACATAGCAGTTAAAAGACTGAATTGCGTATCTCACATAATACAGATAGTAAAATTAAACTAATTCAGATATTAACTACTTAGTTATTAAAAAGAGTTCAATCGGCTAAAAAAAGGAAACCGAAAATGAGTTTGCTTTAAGACATGAGGAAATAATAAAACTATTCTTAAAACGAGTGGTTTTGAAGCGTTGTACATTAAAAGGTCGCGCACGCCTTAACAAGTAGGTAGTTTCATGTGCTGCTGGTATTAACTTTTGAAGACAGTGATTGTTGTCATTTACAATTTTGTCGAAAAGTGACTCACATATTTCGTCGTGATGGATGGCTAATTCTTTAAATTTCATAATATCCAGGGCCTCATGATAGCTATGACCAGGACAGATAATGGATATTGCTCTCTTCTGTACGCGTTCTAGTTCTCGCATTAAATATTTAGGCAAACTATAGTGAAAAACCGGTACTGCATAGTCCATGATTGATCTAATACAACTAGAATAAAATAGCCCTAGATCAGTACGAGCAACCTTAGCTCTCTTAAGTTGAATCAAGAAATATAATCTCTTAGAGGCTTTTTTAACAATTTAATTAATATGGGTATTCCAGGTCAAATTACTGGAGATATTAAGACCCAAAACCTTTACATTTTCTACCAATTCTAAAGCATCGCCATTGATGAGAATGGGCTCAAATTCTTGCTGGAACTTTGAAAAGGATATTCGCATCTCTTTACACTTTTCATTGTTTAATTGGACTCTATTTTCCAGGGACCATTGTATTACTCTATCTGTATGACGCTGTGCGTTACTAAGCTCCCCTTTTGCAACCGTCTCGGAGCTGGTGGTGTCACCTACATATTTCCATAAGCGAGCATTTTCGACTACTAGATCGTTGATCATAATTAAGAAAAGCCAAGATCCTAGTTTGGTATCCCGCGGGAAGCCCGATGGTACTGATCCCCACTCAGATACACAACCCTCACTAAGTTTGATTCTTTGATATCTGTCTGACAAGAAGTCGATAACCCAATTAATTACGCTATTTGGCACGTTTAACTTACATAATTTCCATGTTGGACGTGAAATTCATTTGATCGCGAATGTACTAAG